GGGGCATTTTGTAGTACTTAAAATACTTTATATTCACTATTTCCACGAGTAAAATATTCTTCGACGTGACCTGTTTGCGACCGTGACCGGTATATAAAATTTCCTCCACACTCAGTTTACCTTTCGAAAATTCCGAATCAGCAGTTTTTAGGAAAAAAAAAATCATTTTTTTGTCAAAACAGATCTCGTTTTATCATTGCGGAAACTAACTTTCGCATTGTGTTAAAAATCATCAAAAATCAAAAAACTTTGTCAGTTGAGTATGACATAGCATTTGGATTGGTTAATGGAAGACTTGATCTGTTAGGTTAAAGGACATTGTTTCAGGCCAAATCGTGCTGAAAAACATCATGGTGGAAATTGATTTGCATGAAGAGTTTGCGTACAATCGAAAATAACCGACAATAAAGATAAAGATCTTGCCTTTGAATGTTTTCCCACAGATCCTACCCAGTTTTACACTGTAAATTCAGGCAGTATCTAAATCGTATTATAATAAAATGTGTGTATATTTATGAACACATTTGTTTTTTCATTTCTTCATCGAAAAGACTCAATATCCCCAAGGCCTGGCGTGGTGAACGAAAGATGTAAGTTGATGTAATTTTGCAATGATAAACCAAAAAGAATCATCTTTTCTGAGGTGATCCTTTCATTTGCACATAACTTGACTATCCACATTTGTGAATGGAATCAACCAAGAATATTCTCAAGAAAGTAAAGAAGACGTCATTTGGCTAATTTAGCTGTTAGTGTTGGTCCTTTGTCGAAAAGAAGTAAAATATCACAAGTCTAAATATTTTCATTGTCAATATCAACAAAGATTATGTGGTTTTATACTACAAAGCAACCAACACTATAAAGGTTGCAGAAATAAAAGGGATGTCATTTCTCGATTTGGAATTGTTCTCTGAGCATCGGGGTCAAGAAATATTGTGTGGTGTGGATCGAGTTACGTAAAATATTACTACCAGTAAAACAATAGAATACTGCTAATATAACAAGTAATATGAGGTTATTACGAGGATACCGAGAAGTATGCACGAAGACAGTACAGCCAGAGTATCGACGTCGCGCAGCGGAGGTTGATGCAACGGCGTACTGTCTTTGTGCATAGTTTGAGGTATCCTCATAATAACCTTATTATTATACATTATTTCCTCCCAATGATTCATCATGGGAATGCCGAAATCCAAAAAGTTTAGAACAGAATCAGCGAACTTCTTTGTGTGAAAGTTTTCATTATTAGAGGATGTTTACGCGCATAATCATTCCATATTTGGAATTTGCATTTTATTGCTATAGTAGGATGAAAATACCCCGTAAAATACCTCAAAATTATAACACACTAACTTATTGCGTTACGGTGACAGATGTATATTAATTAATACACAATATTATCTGTAAACCCCCCCCCCCCCAATCCCGAATAATAAAGTGAATGTTATTTACCTCCTAAATTCAGCGTCAGCTAACAACTCATCCACTATCGTCTTCTTTCGGTCTTTCTTCGGTATTCTTGAATGATAGAAATCAGCTGAGTGCTCTATCACTGTACCAACCTACAGAGGGATCATAATAAAACAAAAGTCAATGTAGGTTCAACCAAAGAGGGCAATATATACAAAACATGGGCGCGATTTGGTCAAGCTTTTAAGCCAATGTATTTAAATAGAATTACTAAGAATGTGCACTCACCTGAACAAATTTGGGTAATCCCCTCACATCACTACCCTTGTAGAATCGTTTTGGATCTAACGCTCCTCTCATTTTTATTACTTTCAAGTCATTCTTGAGTTCTTCTGTCATCTCTGGTGCTTTCATATTATACCAGTTACTTCCAGTGTGTGACTCTCTTTCTTTCTGTTAAAATAAAAAA